ATAAAGGCTAGGTGAATTTCACTGTTGAATTCTCTTCTTTCTTCAATTATTCTTTTTAATGTAAATGTGGCATCTGAACAAGATCTGCCTCTCCTAAATCCTATTTGCTCTTCTGATATTAGGTGTTCTACTATTAGTTTATGCCTCTTATTTAAAATTCTTGTGTTTAACTTGTAGTCTGTATCTAAAAGACGTATTCCTCGGTAGTTATTCGGATCTGATCCGTCTCCTTTTTTGTACAGGGAGATAACCTTTGCTTGGTGCCATTCTTTTAGGATCTGCAAATTTTTCCAGCACATATTAAAAAAGTGCAATAGTCGATGATGGAAGAGTATTCCAGTATATTTTATCAATTCTGTATTAATGATATTAAGTCCTGCCGCTTTCCTGTTTTTTTGTTCCCTTCAAATCTTCCAGCAATTCTTCTATCTACTTCACTACCTGAGTAACGTTTGATTACTTGCGGTTCTTCTTCATACCACAACTGTGTATAATGTTGTGTCCATGTTTTCTGATCAATGATATCTAGATCTATGTTGTATCTTTCATCTTTATTTAATGTTTTCATCACCTTGTAAGCCAGTGACTGCCTACCAAACAGGTCATGTTCTACGTAACATAAATCTTACCCATGATTCTGCATGTGCTTTTCTTATTACTGTTTTTGCTGCATTTCTTGCTTTTCTATATTCTTCCTTGTTGTCTTCTGTAGTATTATTAAGGTAGGTTTTATACTTTTTATGTTTATCATTTACTCTTTCTTCTATTTCTTTCGTCCAAATTTTTAATTCTCCTTTTCTCCTTTATATTCTCCTAAGTCCCACAGCCTCTGCTGCAGCTTGTTTCATTATTCGCTCAATATTCTGCCATTCATATTCTATATTATCACTTGTGGTATACATTTGCAGATGTGTATTGACTCTATTTTCATACAGCTTTCGTATACTTTCATCTTCTAATAGATACACCTTAAAGAAGTTATCCTTACTGGTTGTAGATGGCGTCATTCTATCTTTCTTCCATTTTGCCAGAAGCTTTATACGGAAACTACTAAGAAATGATCCGATCCTATGTCATTTCCTCTCTTTACTGTAGTATCGTCAATATTCTTAGAAATCTTTTTATTTCTTATCACATTATCTATTAAAGATCTATATCCTCTAGCTGTCCAAGTTAACTTGTGAATATCCTTTTTCTTTTTAAATGTATTGACAATACTTAGTTCATTGTAAGTGGCGAATTCTATTAGTTTTTCTCCATTTGAATTTTTTATGTTTTCACCATGAGTTCCCATTACACTTGGTATACTTGTATCTCCAACCTTAGCATTTAAGTCACCGAGCAGTAGGATTTCTTATTTTGAGTTATACAAGCCAATGATCCTTTGAAGAGTTTTGTAAAATTGTTCTGTGCCATCCTTCTTCCCTTCCTCTGGTGCATACACTCCTATCACTATCAAATATCCTCTGTCATGTTTGAATTTCATAGTGGTAATTCTTTCATAGTGATTCCCACTTTCTGTCCACAAATATAGCAACTCCCTTAGCAGCTCTATGATTTTGAGGTACTCCACTATAAAACA